TCCAGACGCCCATAAATCCGACAATCCAGGATGACAGAAATTCGAAAATGCAAAAATTTGGAAATCCGGAAATCCGGGAACCCGAAAATCAAAAATCCTGAAATTCCAGGATTCTTGATTTCCAGGTTTCCGGAATTCCGGATTCTTGAATTTTCGATTTTTTTTCTAAAAAAATTTCTGGATTCATCCGGTAATCCGTTAATCCGTTTTTCAGAAATCCAGAAAACCAGAAATTCGAAAATCTGGTACACCGATAATCCGAAAATCCGGAATCCGGAATTTGGATTCTATGTGAAAAAGGCGTTGCGTATAAGGGTCATAACCTTGGAATTCATCGAATTCAGAGCTTCAAAACCTTCAAAACCTCTCATTTCCAGAGTGGAATATCATTTTGTGGATCGGCGAAAAACGGTTTTTTTTGGAAATTTGGAATTTTTTTGAATTCATTTTTCACGTTAACACTTTTTCACGAATGTTGACCTAAATAGGTGTATTATGCGAGACAAATAGCGAGACTTGCAAGACTCGCATAAGAAGTGCGAGTCTTGCACGTGAAATAAGAAATTACGAGCTTTTGCGAGAACGAGAAATTGCAAGACGAGACAATGCGAGCATTTGCGAACGCAAGACAAGCCAAGACGAGTCCCGAAAATGTCTTGCAAGACTTGCAAGAATTCTCGTCCTTGCCGAACTCCATTGCTCGCGAGACGGAACTCTACTACCTACCGTACTATTTGAGCAATGCGCCTTTAAAGATGCGGCGCGTCCTCGGACGCTGCTGCTATCGCGCAGAGAGGTCTTTAAAGGCGCATATCTCAGAAACTGCAGTAGCCAGAAAAAAGTGGTCAACTATAAAAATGAAGCCCTTGTCTTGTTTAGTACAGTATGAAATTTTCAGACAAATCTGAAAACTGTTGACAACTTTTGTACCAGAATCAAAATTCCAATATTTTGAGTTTTTGAATTCTGTAAAGTATGAAAAAAAAACAGTAAAAATTTTTCAAGACCCGTCAAGACGAGACAAAAGCAAGAAATTTCTCTCGAGACGACACTCTACTAGGTAGCAAACACTTGTTAATTGCAAAAATGTTCAAAATTGAGTTTTACACATTTTTGTAGTTGACAACTTTTTCCTTGCTAGCTACCGTAGCTCTCGAGCTATGCGCCTTTAAAATGAACGCGTCTCTGCGTCTCCCCGTCCTAGCTTACCATCTTTAAAGGCGCATATCTCTAAAATTACGGTAGGTAGAAAAAAGTTGTCAACTACAAAAATGAAAGTCTATTTTTGTTTAGTATGGTTTTGAATTTTCAGAAGATGCTGAAAATGTGAACATTTTTTTGGGAATCTGAAAAAAAAGCCAGATTTCTCTGATAATTGAAAAAAAACGCTAAATCATTTTTGCCCAATTTTCAAATTCCGGGAAATGGTATCCAAAATTTTCAGATTTGCCTGAAAATTTTAAACAATACTAAACAAACATAGCGCTTTACTTTTCTAGTTGACAAGTTTTAACTAGCTACCGTAGTTTTTGAGATATGCGCCTTTAAAAATAAGATGCCCCTCCCCTCTCTTGAGGAAAGGAGTCATCTTTAAAGGCGCGTAACTCAAAAACTACAGTAGCTAGAAAAAAGTTGTCAACTTGAAAAATGAAGCTCAATTTTGGTTTGGTATTGTCTAAAAATTTCAAGATATTCTGAAAATTTTGAAGAACTTTTTTGGGGACTTTTTGGGAATCTGAAAATTGAGCTCCATGATTTTTTATAAGTTTGCTCCGATTTTCTTTGTATCTCTCCGGGGGCGTCCTAGCTTACCATCTTTAAAGGCGCATATCTCAAAAACTACTACAGTTACTAAAAATTTGTTGATTACAAAAATGTGTAAATTTCAATTTTGAACATTTTTGCAATTAACAAATGTTTGCTACCTACCATACTTTTCGAGATATGCGCCTTTAAAGATGGGGCGCCTCTCCACTCCTTGGATGATGCTGCCAGCGCGCAGAAAGGTTCCCTATCTTTAAAGGCGCATATCTCAAAAACTACTGTAGCTACTCGAAATTTGCCAATTACAAAAATGAATTTCCATTCATGTTTAGCACTTTTCTAGTCGACAACTTTTCCCTACCTACCGTACTTTTTGAGTTATGCGCCTTTAAGGATAGCATATGTTGAAATGATGCGTTGTCACCTTTGTAGTCTACCGATTTCTTTGATTTTTACACCAATCGATTCAGAATTTTCTAGAGATTCTATTTCAAAATGAAATTTCGGAAAAAAAAATCTCGAAAGTTGGTTCCAGATCCCTCAAAACCCCTCTTTTCTCATGTATATTTTTTTGTTCCTCCATACACATTTATGTGTCTTTTTCGCTAGAAAAAAAAAATGGAAAAACTGTAACAAGGAACTTTTTCGTCCATTTCCTCTTTTCTGAGAAAATGGAGGAACCGTTTTTTTTTCTCTCATATGTTGAAGAAAAAACTGGTTTTTTCTTTGAATGTAAAAATTGAGAGACATCTGGACAGACAGACAGACAGAGAATTTGAGAATTTTCGGGTTTTCAAAGTGCCAAAACTTCAACTTTCAAATTTCGAATTTTTCAGAGAATTTTTGAAATTCTGAAATTCAGAAAATTGGATTTTCGAGTATTTTTTTGAACTTTTTAAACAAGATTTTCATTATTTTTTCATGTTTTTGGTTTTGAAATTCAAGACATTTTTGTGGGTCAAAAAGAAGAGGAGGAGAGAATAAAAGAAGACAAAAAAAAAGAGGCAAGGAAATTTGAATTTTTCGGCGGGAATTTCGAATTTTTAAAAATCAAAAAACCCGTAAATTTCAAAAAATTGGGGTCCTGAAGGGGCGAAAAATGGAGGTACCAGCCTCATTTCAAATGAGAGAAAAGTACCCATAATATGGACGAGAGAATTTTTGCGGGGGGGGGG